TTAACTTTTTTATAAAAATACATTAGGTAAAACATTGCGTCTCTTCGGAGGTCGAACACCATACGAGGGAAGAGTAGAAGTATATCACAATGGAGTTTGGGGAACAATTTGTGATGATGGTTGGACTGCAAAAGACACTGCTTTTGTCTGTGAAGCATTAGGGTTATCCCCGTAAGTTTTTAGGTCACATGAGTCGTTCAGGTGATCTTAGTCCGTGCGGGTGTGCGTCATGCGTAAACTTTTCACATTTTCGACTTCTTCTCAAGAACCACTAAGCCAATTTCAACCAAACTTGCCACAAAGTTTCCTTGGGTAATGGGGACTCAAGTTTAACTTAATGAAGGGCAAAGGCTTCTGTCAAGGGGACAAAATTCAGAATTAATGAAAAATTTATGGCGTCTTTCAAATTTTGAAGATTTTTCTCAAGAACACTAGGGCCGAGAAAGATGAACCTTACATTGGCAACATCCTCAGGTAGTGTAAATTAACTTTGACCCCTTGGGATAGAGTGGGGCCACAATGGACGATCAATTAGGTTTAACATAGGAATATATAGGAAAAATATCTTCATAACCAATAGGCCGATAAAGATGAAATTATAGGAAAAAATCCTCAGGAAGTGTAAATTTTGATTTTAGGACGGGGTCATAAGTAACTATCACAATTTTGCAATGGAATATATAGTAAAAATCTCTAAAAATCTTCTTTGTAAGGACAACAAAGCAATCTCTGGGTAATGTTAATACAAATTTGTTTAAAGCTATAGGGTAGGAAGAGGACACAACAGGTGATCAAAGTTTTAGTTTGTAATATGTAGAAATGATCATTCAAAAATCATTTTAAATTCTTAAAAGTTCTGACTTTCAAATGTATTACTCAAAAACTTCATATAAAATATACCCCTTTAATTTTGGTTACCTGTAACACTTATTACACATTTAATTGAATTAAAAAATTTACCTTCCTTTATATTGTTTTACTACTGCATGCTTTAATTTTGAAGTTTTCAATTTATATTTTATGGATTGTTGTTTTACATGTATACTCTGGTGACCGTTAAAGCCTTTGGGCCTCTTGTTTTTAGTCATAAATTCTTTTTCTAATAAATTTAAAAAGGACCAGATATTAATACTGAAATATATAATTATTCACTTTTTGAAATTTTAGGCATATCAACAAGAGATGCACTAAAAAAAGTGTTGACAATCCATTGAAAATTGAAAATGTAGATGTGTATTGTAAAGGAAGTAAAAGTTCCAAACTTTTGTAATTTGAGTTCTTTCGTAGATTCCTTTTTGACAACGAATCATTATGAGTTCCGGTTCTTCTGAGTTTGGTGGCACTGAGACGCTATGTGGCCCAGTCTGTCACACTTGAAGCAACGAACTTCTTTGGAATTGGCGTTTTCATGGGTTCCAATCAATACTGATCTCGCTGTTCCTGTTCTCTCGAGCCTGACTTTTCCAGTTCTCTTTTTGTAAAATGAACTAATTTAAAACAAATTTGCCTCTCCATAAATCACACATTTCTCTGATGTTTTGTCACCAAAAACAATGTAATTCTTTGTTAACATAAACAGAAATGCTGATCTCTGAGTATCATTTCTAGAGGCCATCAAAAGTCTTGTTAACTCGACCAAGTTCAATCCACCTATCGAGATAACTACCGAGACGAACAACATAATAATAAATAGTAATTTCCCGATTATAACATGAAGCACACGGCAGGTGTGACCGGTCGGCAAGGGATGCTGATTTATCCATGGCGCCTGATGCCACTTCAGGTGTTTTGGAGGCCCGTGTTTCTCTGCATCTATTTTGAATTGTTTAATGGACTTTTAAGTTTGAGTACTGTCCGTTATCTGCATATATTTCACCTAGAGAAAACTCACAAACAAACAATTCTGTGAAGAGAGCACAAAACATGGATCCTCGTTTCCATACAATGTATGTGGGATCATATGGATCCTAGTAAAAGGAAGCATCTCCTCTTGACCAGGCATTACCATCGTGAGTCCTTTGTATTGACTAAGAAGCCGAAACATTAATTCCCAAAAGTTTAAATGTAATCAATTTTAACTTGCCTTCATTTATGTGTCAATGAATAGCTATTTTTGAAAAAAAAAAACGTATGAAGGATATTTCGGTAAGTTAAAGATCATTCGGTTATGTAAGTGTTTAGGGGGCATAAATTATAATATTAGCTGAAATTTAACTCAGTCACAAAGTAAGCGACCCCCACACCCCACCCCCCCACACCCCAAATGGCATATACTTTTAGAGAGAAGTAATTTAAACGATTTTTTACTTTAAAGAGAAAAAGCAATGACAACAAATACTAAAAAAATTGTTTGCAATATTCAACTTTAGCGATAGCAGAGCTCAAACATGTACATGTAATGTCCAAATTATTTTGTCGGATAAAAAAATTCTGCTTATATGGTAAAAGTTTTGACTCATCCATTTTAGGATTTAATCAGATGTAATATGCAGAAGTTAGGTAAAAGTTTTGACTCATCCATTTTAGGATTTAATCAGATGTAATATGCAGAAGTTAGAATAAAATAATTACAGTGCTATCTCGGTATATTGCCAATTTTTGTCCAAGACAGATTTTGGCATTAAAGCGAGGGTGGTAATATAACGAGTTTTTAAAATAAATTACATGTAAATGCTATGAGCCCAGAAGATGAATACATGATATTTTTCAGTTCAAATTAAATGCCATGTTTGTGCATATTTAAGTGGACTTTCTTTTATAAAAGCATTAATTTATTTTTTACAAGTAATTTGACTAAGATATAATGAAAATGTCGAAATATTAAAACACCTAGCAGTTTCTTGTTCTTCCACTCTTCTGTCTTAATCCAAGAATTTAACAACCCGGTGGTAATTCAGTGTCAATGTAGCAGTTATAGATTCTCTTATAAATAGGTTCTTTAGGTTTATTATCAAATTTCCTCAGAAACAGATGTGGATTATTTCACTGTCACGACAGCCGTCGTGCTCTGTTCAGTCAGACAACAACAAGATTTTTTTTTTCTATTTGCAATTTTTTATCTATAAATAAAATCAATAAAAACAATATTTACAACATATCTTTTACAAAGAATTATCTACAATAAATATCACTTAGTCTTTATATATCCATATCAATTCCTGTGTACCACGCGACCGCGTCCTGACTCTCCCCGTTTCACGACGGACTCCCACCAACTGGCTCCCAGTGGGTTTCGATGTCCAGGTAACATTTTGGCAATTTGGTATCCCAGTGTCCACACAAAATGGCCCTTATAGATAGAATATGGCTGGAATATGTCTGGAATATCTCTGGAATATCTCTGGAACCTTTAGATTAAATATTTTAAGTCATGCAAGTTACGTCTTAAAATTAACACGTCAACATTGACTGAACAGGTTGCCCCTGTACTTATGGCACACCATACAAAACAGTACCGGTAATTCTAACCGAACACTTTATAATAAGAAAAACGTTAAGAATACACAACATCTTAACAAAAGTGGTTTTAACTATTAATCCCACAACACCGACTTTATAAGCGGCAAAACAAAATAGCCTACGTGCGTACATAACTTAGTACATTGCACAAAAATAGAAAATAAAGAGACACGAAAAACACGCATGAGTAACTCTACCCAGCAAAACTGTATACGTAAACAGTAACGAAAAACATTACTTAATTCAAATTCTTAAATAGTTCTACTTTCAAATGTATTACTCAAAAACTTACATATAAAATAAAAAACAAACTTACCCCTTATGGAGAAATGGTTACCGTTGAAAACCTAACTATCTACACATCTTGGGTTGTACTACCTCAAGCATGGCATGTAAAAATATATGAAAACGTGGACCCCGGTTACTCGGTCAGCTATGCAGCGATTTAAATATCTCCTAATACAATAGGTCGTAACTGACCAATACCTGCAAAACTTTAGTAATTATGACTTGAGGTTCAATAAAGGTAACAATAAGAAGAGGTCCAGTACAGGGTAAATAAAATAAAAACCATAACCGTTATGTAAATAAAATTATAATTAAATTTTGATTGTGACATTCACTACCTTGAGAATTCCTCAGTTTAAAATTGATAAAATGTTGAACAAAATTTTAGTCTTCTTCCTTCCATTCCTTTGTAATCTAAATTTGTATGCTTTCTCTTCCCTGATGTTTGAAATTATTATTGGGATGAAATAACACTGCTATCTTGTAAAAACAACAGCAAAAACACTACTAATTTTGAGTTTATACAACAATTATCTTTAATTTAACTGAATTCCCTGTTCAGCCTGTCACGCTTCACCGCAACCAGGCACTCTCAAAGCACGGGTGTGATGTCCTAATTACCGACATGGCATTCTTAATGAGGGATTGTCTTACATAATTTGACCTTTTGTTCCCTAAAATTAATGGCGGATGGCAATAAGCGGGAGTGGCAATATAACGGGTGTATTAACACAGAGGGAAATCCGTTCTTGGAGAATTTCTGGCAATAAGCAGTGGTGGGAATATAAAGGGGGGCAATATACCGAGGTAGCACTGTACATCATTTAAGAAATGTAAAATCACAATAGTGAAGCATTTAACAATTTCATTGCCAAACAAAAGAGATGCATCACACAATCAAAGCTCTGTAAATATTTATAACATAGCATTTATCATTAAAAACATTGTTGAGGTTAAAGAGACATTCCGAATTTTCACTTTTCTACACAATCTTCATATACGACCTGACCTTTTTTAAAAACTCTCTACTAGTATTTATCGCAAAACACTTTGACACCAATCGCTAGCTAGTTATGGTTCCGATTCTGGATTTGACTACATATCAATACAAAAGGCTCAAGGCAACCGGTCAACAGATGCTACACTATGAGTTTCCATTTCACAAAAGAAATCTCTGCTTCTTTTAAAGTCTTTAGGTTTTCTGGAATAGCGTGTCATTTATCACATATTGCCTGTCCCTGTCCTTTAACCTTGTTAAATAGTAGCCTTATGATAAGCATTCTGGCTAGAAAGCTTTTATTCTTTTTGAAAATTTATTTCATCAACTTCTGAATGAATATTGGCGAACTAAAATAAAAACAGCTTTTTATTACCTGTATACATTTTAGAGATTCTAAGATTGATTAACTGTTCGTTGTCTTCAACATTTTCATCTGATTAAAAAAAAGAAGTGAAAGAAATCTAAAACTTATTTCGATAAAACATTAAATTGTCAAACAGTTGTGACATTGCTTTGAATGAGCACTTTATCTTTAATACCTCCAGACAAAATGCTTCTGCCGTATCTGGCAGTCCGTATGGCGTGGCGACTGGCCCAATACACTTGGATGACGTCTCTTGTGTCGGGAACGAAAGCAGAATTGATCAGTGTCGGCATAATGGATGGGGAAACCATAACTGCGGACACAGTGAAGATGTTTCTGTCAACTGTTCGGCAGTAAGTTGAATGTTTTAAAAAATAATTGAATGAATGGCGGACAATATCTTAACCGGCACAAAAAAAGTGAGATATCTCTTTTAGCAAATACATGTAATTTGATGACAGTAGTTTGATAAAATACCATTTTATTTTGGCAATTTCTGGAAAATTTAAATCAATCACAATTTTTGATATGATAAATATTGTGTTTTTCTTCACTCAAGCATTTCTCGTTGTTTATATTTTTTAGAGTTGATATGTTTCACTCTTCTTTTTTTAATCGAATGACTTTGTCACAAAAATCTGTTTCAGAGATAACTACAAGACTGGCGGGGGGTAAAACTCCGTATGAGGGGAGAGTAGAAGTTTATCACAATGGTGAATGGGGATCAGTTTGTAATGATGACTGGGATGGGAACGATGCAGCCGTTATATGTAGATCACTAGGATTCCCTTGGTATGTTTTTTTGCCCTTCATGACAAACAGTCATTGGGATTTTAGTTATATCCTTCGTTCGCAAAATTGAAGTCTACATATTTTGAGCCTTTCTACGCGGTTTACCATTAGGATATGAACAGTGATGCCCCTGTATGGCAGTTCATGGCGAAGGTAAAAGTTTCTCGAATATTACAAGTCAAAATCCTAGGGAGCAAAATGTTATTAACCCCCCCACCCCCCCCCCCCCCCCCGAAAAGAGAACCCAAAATTGTGTCAATAAATAAACCTTTGAAATATGAAACCCCAAGCATGATCCTTTAAGGAAAAAATTGTCAAGTTTAATTTTTTACTGTGGGTTAAGCTCCGACATCAAAGGATTAAATGAAATGTACACTGAGGAAGACCATGGCGTTAAAAAATACGTATTTGAAATATAAAAGCTCTAGCTCCAACTGCCATAAATTTATGGCCAAGTCTAGAGCTTTGGACTCCAAGATAAAGAAATCAAGTATGTTTATATCCAAATAAAACCTGTCGCCCGCGTGGCGCAGTGGTTAGAGCGTGTGCTCTAGAGTCGCGAAGTAAGGAGTCTATCCTTACGTCGCGGGTTCGAATCCCATTGTGGGAAGTGGAGACTGGTCCTTCGGATGAGACCGTATAAAGAGAGGCCCCATGTCGAAAAACAGTTAATACACAAATTTGACAAAAGTGTTAAAATTCAGACATTCATATATGTACCTTATCTCATGGCACATTATTTTTTGCAGCCACGAAAAAGATCCCTCGCTAAGTGTTGGCGTCTCATATGAGTGAAAAAGTATCGATAAGAAAATTAAACAATATACAATCAATCAGTCAATCCACTAAAGACCTTGTCACAAGAATTACCATGTACACGTTTGATGTATGAAAACCATAGCTCCAACAAATCAAAAGTTATGTGCAAGATTCATTTTTGCAGACAAACAGCTAAACAAACAAACTAAAGAACAGGGTAAAAAAATAGATGACACCGAATTTCTGATAACGGGGGAACAATTAGCTCAATATTGTATATAGTTTTCCATATTCAAACGATTTCTTGTCAGCAATTTATATCAATAAAACTATTTTTTGTAAAGTAAATGTATATATTTTAAAGGCAAGGTGCACAAAGCCTTCGTTGGGCTTTCTTTGGACAAGGCTTAGGTCCCATTTACCTTGACGATGTCTCTTGTAATGGACGAGAAAAAGATATTCAGCACTGTGCAAACAATGGAATTGGTCGTCATAATTGTGACCATAAACAAGATGTCTCTGTTCGTTGCCTTCCATTCTGGAGTAAGAATCATTTTCGAATTTTTATAAAAAAAAAAATTAACTTAATATTTTTATAAACATAAAAAAGGTTAGTAATGTTTTCAATCACATTAAAGGAGATAGGTACATACTTAAAAATTGAAATATTTTATTTGTCGCACACCATGGATATTGATATGACTTTTGATATGTTTATTTGTTATAAAAGATGGTTTGAAAATTAATTGTTGGAAACAATTTTTATTTGCTTTACTATTATATAATTGTTCACGGTTTTTTTTGACGATTTTTTTTTTGTATCCCGAAACTACTCATCTGACTGAAATTAATTATTTATAGGGTTACATTTTAGCCTACATTATATGCATGTATTGAGATTGTGCATTTTGCGAGCATGTCATTTACCATGCCATAGAGAATGACGTGCATTTTGCAAGCATGCCATTGACCATGCCATAGAGAATGACTAAGTTGGAGCACATCTATGCGTTGGAATGACTTGAAACAGTGATAATAATGGATTGCTTTTAAAAATATAATAAATACAATAAAAAGTGTGAATCTTATACCTAGCTATACTTTACGGATTTAGTTTCTATGCCAAAATATAAATTGGATTAGCTCAAATTGAAATATCTATGATCTTATTACCATCCAAAATATCAAAATGAAATTTAAATTCAAATTAAATACGAGGTGTTGATGATAATGTAACCGTTTACAAGGCATGTGTACAAAATCTGTACATGCGCATTTGAGATTAATTCTTATCTGCTAATGCATGAAAGGGGTTCTCGGGGGGTGGGGTGTTAGTTTATTGTGCATAAAAAGGTTCTACTTCGATGAAGTTTATTTTTTAATGTTTATAGAAATAAAGTAAAGAAACCTTAACACTTTGGTAATATAAGTACTGGTTCCCGTAATAATGATAGATAAATCTTGAAAGACTTAAATACTATAGTCATTACACGAATTTGAAAACTGTGTTAAAATGCAAACCTTCACAATAAATGACTATGTACCTTATCTTACGGCACATTGTTTTTGCAGGCATAACCACGCGACTGGTAGGAGGTCAAACGCCATATGAAGGAAGGGTTGAAGTTAGCAACAATGGCATTTGGGGAACTGTTTGTGATGATGGCTGGGATGACAAAGATGCCGCCGTTGTATGCCGATCTTTGGGATATCCAACGTGAGTGACTGCTTATAAAATTGTTACACGGTGGTACCTACAGTGATATTGAAAGTTTAGTAATTATGAAAATTTATTTTCTTCACAGACAAAATGCTGCAAGTTCTTGCTGTGCCCATTATGGACAAGGATCAGGTCCAATACATTTAGATATCGTCAGCTGTAATGGAACAGAAACAGATATTGGACAATGCCCAAACCTTGGATGGGGAATTCATAATTGTGGTCATCATGAAGATGCCTCTGTTTCTTGTTCCCCTTAAATATATTTTTAACATTCTTTGAGCAGAACATTTCATTTAAACTAAATGAACACTGATATATGAATAATGTGAGCTTCTATTATTTACTAATTTGTTTTCATTTTTTAAGTGTACTCTATAGTAATTTAAGGAACAATATTACATGTATTGCAATTTTATTGTATTTAAAGACTTAAGTTCATTTTAGCAAATACTTATCTTGTTTAATCTAACGCTATGTAATTGCTTTCAAACACGTAATGATGATATCAACTTTGTTTCCGAACTGCATAAAAAGGCTGTCCATTTGTTTAATCCATTTGATGTTAGTGTATAACTCTAAGCTTAACTTTTGTAAATCTCAACCATTACTGGTGTTGACTTCTTGTCAATAAAACTAAGAAATGCAAGAAAAGGACTTTATGCGGTAATGTCCGATATTAACCCCCCAAAACAAACTTTGACGGAGAAATATATAATTATGTTTTAAATCAGGGGGGTATCTGAAGACTTCAAAGCACTGAATATTTTCATGTCATATGTGTATACCACATGTAGTTCTTTTCACTGCCTACGACCATTGTATTTCGCACATAAAATAATTCAAAAGGCAAAAAATATTTTATGAAAAATTCACCTGTAATTAATCAAAATGTAAGTGGCAAAACAGGCAAATAAAAAACATAAACATCAAAACGACTTTTAACCTTATAATATGATTATTGATCACTGCACAGGCTGCAACCAAACCTGCTTTTGTCCTTTGAGCCGTCTGTGCAAATTTCTACCCTAGGATGTTTAGAATCTTTCAATTCGCCTAATTTCTGTTGAAAACGAGAGGATTTGTTTCTGATTTATTCATATTAGTTCGGATAGGGGTTTATATAACTACTGATTTAATTAATTTCCATGGTGGTATTTCAGAACAAGAATGTTGTTCTTACTATACCTAATGGTAGTTGTTTTTATCTGATACAGGGTGTTTCACAATATATGTTACATTTTGAATCTTCAATTTGACAAACACAAGAAAAAGATACACACAAGTCTTTTTATCAAATTGATGCATGTATCCATAAGATTCATTATGTTTAATTACCAACTAAAATATTAAATACTGAACAAAATCTTAAACATGAATGAAAATTAGCGAAATTACCAAGTTGCGTCATTTTTTGCTACGTTGAATTTCACAACGTCAAAAGCTCACATTACATGTTCTAAATGATCTCCATTATTTCAACAACAAATGAAATCGCTTCTTGAAATTTGTATAGAGTTTAACATTGTCACATATTTTTGCTTAGACACTCCTCATTTGAAGGTATATGTTCTTTTTGAGATTCAAATCATATTTCAAAGTTTAATGTATGATGAAAATGCTGATTTGCATCAATTCTGAAAATATCTATCAGACACTTTTCTCAAAAGTTTGCTACACTATGAGTTTCCATTTCACAAAAGAAATCTCTGCTTCTTTTAAAGTCTTTAGGTTTTCTGGAATAGCGTGTCATTTATCACATATTGCCTGTCCCTGTCCTTTAACCTTGTTAAATAGTAGCCTTCTGATAAGCAGTCTGGCCTGAAAGCTTTTATTCTTTTTGAAAATTTATTTCAACTTCTGAATGAATACTGGCGACATGAATTTAAAAAAAAACAGCTTTACAATTCATTGGCTCATGTGCTTTTACATACATTTATAAACTTTTGGCTAAGTTCTAAAAGCCCCAAAGCACAATCTAAGAATGATGTTTAATTGCGTCAATATCTTTTAAAAAGGAAGTCTTACTTTTCAATTCCAACAAAGAAGTTGAATACTAGTATTATTTCTTGGTGACTTCAATAAGAAGAGCACCAGATTTTATTTTTTAACAGATCTGGACGAACCAGTAATGCCTTGTAAATTTGTATTATAAAGAGTAAAATGTTTGTAAGAGGCTTTGAATGTTGATCCGAAAGCTGTGGTTCAAGTGTGCTGATGCTAGGCCAGCGTTCCACAACAGAGTTTAGTTGTTTATCATTAAAGAAATTTCTAATCCTGATGGGTTACAACGTTTTTTTTATGAGTTTGAAGTAGCCATGGTTAAATGAAATAAGTTCAGATTCTTGTACCCCACCCGGCCCAGAGCGCTAACAAGGGTAATATCTAAGTAAACGTATATCTAAGAAGATAGACACCATGCCTGATTGACCCTGAGCAAACACTTGATATATCTATACTTATAAAATTATTGGAAAATTTGTTAATTTTATAATCATTGATTAAAAAAACACAAAGTGCAAAACTTTCCGTTTATGTCCGATATCGCTATTTGTTGAAAGTTCTAGAAAGTCAGGTGGCATCGAACCCGATTTAAAAAAGAAAATCGCGGCGATTGTTTATCATGAATGGACATGGAAATAAGTGTAAAGAAATTGTTAAAACAGTGATGTTGTGAATATATCTCAGTAAGTTGAGCATTTATGTTTTACAAAAATAATTGTCGATGAATGGCGGACACAGTGAAGATGTTTCTGTCAACTGTTCGGCACAAAAAAAGTAAAACGAGAAAATTTGGCGCAAACGTATTTTAGCGCAAATGCAAGTGGGAATGCATTGGCGCAAATAAATTTTAGCGCTTGCACTTGTCAGTAAAATATATAAATGGGATGGGTTTTTTTTTAATCCACACCCGTATTTGACTTTTTGGTTAGTCAAACACGGAAACACATTAGTACTCCCGTACATCAGTAAATATTCGTTAACTTTACCGCGGTACGTGTTGCTATCACATGGACGTGGTACAAAGTTAAAATTTATTTTATTTCTACTTTCAATTAAGAGAAATGGCGTATTTACTCATTTAAATCATATTAAAACAATGCATGCATCGACAGAATATTACTTAGATAAAACGGTAATCCCAATCAGGTATAATAATTGTCTGCAAGCTCAATCGCCATGCTTGATTGCATTGTTTACCTCGAGGCGATAGATGATTGACACGCCGAGAAGCCAAACTTTAAAGGTGCTAATGATAATAATCGGGTAACAACTACCGGGGTAACAAAAGTTTAATCAAATTATAATTTGGCAGAACTTTCTGTCTTCCGAACATGTGCTGTACGTGCTAGTGTGTATATAAAATCCAATGACCCTTCGACATTACGTAATCGCTTGTTCCGGTTTACATGTACTTATGTAAAAGCTTTGAACACACACACAAAAAAATGATATTTTGAAATCCTTTAGCGCACAATAAATTTTAGCGCTCAGGGGCTCTTGCGCCAAAGGCGCTAAAATTAATAGTGCGCCAAATATTCTCGTTTTACAGTATCTCTTTTAGCAAATAATTCGATGACAGTAGTTTGATAAAATACCATTTTATTTTGGCAATTTCTGGAAAATTTAAATCAATCACAATTTTTGATATGATAAATATTGTGTTTTTCTTCACTCAAGCATTTTTCGTTGTTTATATTTTTTAGAGTTGATATGTTTCACTCTTCTTTTTTTTTTAATCGAATGACTTTGTCACAAAAATCTGTTTCAGAGATCACTAGGATTCCCTTGGTATGTTTTTTTTTGCCCTTCGTGAGAAACTGTCATTGGGATTTTAGTTATATCCTTCGTTAGCAAAATTGAAGTCTACAATTTTGAGCCTTTCTACGCGGTTTAACTTTAGGATATAAACAGTGATGCCCCTGTATGGCAGTTTATGGCGAAGGTAAAAGTTTCTCGAATATTACAAGTCAAAATCCTAGGGAGCAAAATGTTATTAACCCCCCCACCCCCCCCCCCCCCCCCGAAAAAGAGAACCAAAAATTGTGTCAATAAATAAACCTTTGAAATATAAAATCCCAAGCATGATCCTTTAAGGAAAAAAATTGTCAAGTTTAATTTTTTACTGTGGGTTAAGCTCCGACATCTAAGGATTAAATGAAATGTACACTGAGGAAGACCACGGTGTTAAAAAATACGTATTTGAAATATAAAAGCTCTAGCTCCAACTGCCATAAATTTATGGCCAAGTCTAGAGCTTGGGACTCCAAGATAAAGAAATCAAATATGTTTATATCCAAAAAAGACCTGTCGCCCGCGTGGCGCAGTGGTTAGAGCGTGTGCTCTAGAGTCGCGAAGTAAGGAGTCTATCCTTACGTCGCGGGTTCGAATCCCACTGTGGGACGTGGAGACTGGTCCTTCGGATGAGACCGTATAAAGAGAGGCCCCATGTTGAAAAACAGTTAATACACAAATTTGACAAAAGTGTTAAAATACAGACATTCATATATGTTCAAAAATATTGACTTATCAAAGTATAGTACTTGTTCATTTAAAAAGAAATCATCATGTATTATAAGACAATATTTTATAAACTAATGGTATAGAGAAAATAGGCAGCAAAATGATGGTAAACTAAGAACTTATTCCATCTTCAAAACCAATTTTGGAAGAGAACACTATCTCCACATTGTCAATAACTATGATCAGAGGAAAAATATAACTAAACTTCGCATATCTGCACATCAATTAAATATTGAAAGGGGAAGATATGCAGGACTTCCCCCTGAATCTAGAAAGTGTTCTCAATGTAATACACAGGAAGTAGAAGATGAACAACATTTTTTGCTCATTTGTCCAAAATACAGCAATGAAAGGTTGCAATTAATTGAAACAATATTAAAAATCAACCCAAACGTCTCTTCTTTGAAACCTGATGAAAAACTTATATGGATATTGAATAATGAAAATAAAGAAATTTTATGCTTACTTGGAAAATTTATTTCTGAAAATGGTAAAAGAACCAATACATAGATTCTGTCATCATGTTTATGAATCGTAAGCCATTTAAATTTATACATGTATAGCATCACATTTTCGTATTGTTTTGTGATCATTGACATTCTTCTGGACACTTGTATTATGTATGATCAGTGACACTGAGAACAATATTATTATGTAACTTGGTCATCTATATAACTGTTTAAAAAAAATTAATTATATTGTTATAAAAAAAGAGAGAATGTTTAAATTGTTCATTTACGAGGGTTGATCCAAAAGTTCGTGGAATTTCTTTCTAAAATTTTATCGTGATTTGATGAAAACAAACAATAGGCATATTTATGATATAGAGTCATACTGCAACAATATTGGAAAATTTCACCCCGTTCCAATTACCAATAAGGTCACACGAGCTTTCTGAAAATGGATAGTTGTGAAACCCGGGGGAGACTTCGACGTAACTTCAAGTTAGGTATGTCACGTCACGTTTTAGAAGCATCTCACCCTACTGTCCAATTAGAATACGAAATTCTACAAAATGCTGCCCTTTTGTCCATTTTTTTTTTCTCAAGAAAGCCTGGGTATCCGCTCGTACCCACTAATCTTCATTTTTCACTCATATTTCAAAATACTCTCCATCTTACCCTATGATGTTCCAATTTCAGTAGCAATGTCAAGAATAGTACATCAGCCGACGACGTCCATGAACGCTTTTAATTTCTAAGGGGATAAACACTTAAAACAGAGCCTCCAAAAGGCGGCCACACCTTTAATCAACGTCCATGGAAGTTCTATTTTTCTTAAATTCCTTACGACACTGGAACCCAGTACCTAAATGCATTTTTCCTAATCCTATATCAATAATATACGCGTTTAAGATAGAGTGATCCCGGGACTTTCATAAAACTTATGACTTGACCAAAATTTGACGTTGGCTAACAACCTAAAGATGAACAATAAATCCTCAACTAATGAACCAAATATCTAGTGAAATCAGTAAAAATCTCACAAAAAGGTTTATAAAAGATCAAGCAATCGTAATAATGACATATTTTTCGTTTTCTGTAACACATAGGACGGTTTTATTCTCATTTCAAGAATTAAGAATTAAATTGATAATAAGCGTGTTGATGTCTCCCCCGCATTTCCAAACATCCGTTTCTATGGCAACTGCCACAGAGTAACTATCACAAATATTTAAAATATTTTTATATTTTAAATATTCAACAAGTGTCTATATTCTCATTTGTAATTTTCAATCAATTTCACTTATAAATAGATAAAATATGAAGAAATTCCACGAACTTTTGGATCAACCCTCGTATGTATGTTGAAATGCCCCTCGGGGCCCTTGATTGGTAAATAAAATATCTTGTATCTTGTACCTTATCTCATGGCACATTATTTTTTGCAGCCACCAAAAAGATCCCTCGCTAAGTGATGGCGTCTCCATAGGAGTGAAAAAGTATCGATAAGAAAATTAAACAATATACAATCAATCAGTCAATCCACTAAAGACCTTGTCACAAGAATTACCATGTACACGTTTGATGTATGAAAACCATAGCTCCAACAAATCAAAAGTTATGTGCAAGATTCATTTTTGCAGACAAACAGCTAAACAAACAAACTAAAGAACAGGGTAAAAAATAGATGACACCGAATTTCTGATAACGGGGGAATAATTAGCTCAATATTGTATATAGTTTTCCATATTCAAACGATTTCTTGTCAGCAATTTATATCAATAAAACTTTTTTTGTAAAGAACATGTATATATTTTACAGGCAAGGTGCACAAAGCCTTCGTTGGGCTTTCTTTGGACAAGGCTTAGGTCCCATTTACCTTGACGATGTCTCTTGTAATGGACGAGAAAAAGATATTCAGCACTGTGCACACAGTGGAATTGGTCGTCATAATTGTGACCATAAACAAGATGTCTCTGTTCGTTGCCTTCCATTCTGGAGTAAGAATCATTTTCGAATTTTTATTAAAAAAAAATTTAACTTAATATTTTTGTAAACATAAAAAGAGGGTTGGTAATGTTTTCAATCACATTAAAGGAGATAGGTGCATACTTAAAATACTATTTTAAGTATATTATTTGTCGCACACCATGGATATTGATTATACTAGTACTTTTAATATGTTTATTTGTTATAAAAGATGGTTTGAAAATTAATTGTTGGAAACAATTTTTATTTGCTTTACTATTATATAATTGTTCACGGGTTTTTTGACGATTTTTTGTTTTGTATCCCGAAACTACTCATTTATAGTGTACTGTCCGTGTTCTAGACACTTGTAACAGAAAACATGTCTGCTCAGTTAAATGCTTTAATTCTTAACTACATAACTAAATGATTACACAAATCGGCGTGGCTGAGACTGTCAACATATATTACTGAATTTGTATTTGGCTAAATAAAAAAGTTATGTCATAATATGAATTGGATTAGCGCAAACTGAAATAGCTATGATTTTATTACTATCCAAAATATTAAAATGGAATTTAAAATTAAATTATATACGAGGTGTTGATGATAATGTAACTGTTTACAAGGCATGTGTACAAAAACTGCACAGTCATATGTACAATGTATTTGAGATTAATTCTTATCTGCTAATGCATAAAAGGGGTTCTCGGGGGAAGGGGGTGTTAGTTTATTGTACGTAAAAAGGTCCTATTTCAATGAAGTTTACTCTTTAAGGTATACCTTTACTCAGATGACTAAAAATTCGACTGATAAGAACGAAAATATCACTTATTGCACATTGTACACCTATGATTCTTGTGTTAAATTTCATTTTCAAATAAATAGGTCAATGACCTACTTTTCATGCTAGTGGCCCCTGAGTATTTCTCGGGAAATACCTCAATTATTCACTCTACGACCAATTTTTTCTTCACTCACAAAATATTACAAGTAACAAAACTTTTTAAATAATGAAATATTATAAGCAATGGAACAGCGCTGCTTCATGTAAAGAAATGATTAGAGTTTGGGCCATAAACATGATAATTATTACGGTCAAAATTTCCTCTGTCATACTTATATTTTTTCCCCATTTTTAATCGACTAATACACAAATTTGAATGATAAAAACTCTACATAATTTATAGCCTCAGGTTACTTTTGTTGCCTTAATTCTCATAGTATTAATATTATGTGGGGTCAATGGTCAAATTATTGAGATATGTTGTCTGGAATGGTTTTCGTACATATTTTTGAATTTCTTTATTTCATAGCATTGAATTATTTGAAATAATTTATGGGCTTTAACACTTATCATCTTTGCAAAATGATTGATTGATTGTATATTGTTTAACGTCCCTCTCGAGAATTTTTCACACATATGGAGACGTCACCGTATGCCGGTGAAGGGCTTCAAATTTTGACCTTTACTCGGCACTCAGGGCCATTGAGCAGTGACGGATCTTTATCGTGCCAACGCCTGCCGCTGACACGGGGCCTCGGTTTTTAAGGTCTCATCCGAAGGACCCGCAACTTTCACTTCAAAGTGCCGAGCGCATGGTGAAGGAACAGTTGCTACCCATTTTAGGTATCACACCGGTAATTGACCAATCAAAATGAACTTAGTCAAATGTAGGTCCATATATATAAAATTAATTTTCTTTTCTTTCGAGGCGTTTTTCTATTTTCTTCCAAGCCATTTTTACAACTTAGGTACCTGTGTCTAGTAAATTTTATGTACTTTGTGAATAAATAAAGGTTTTTGACAGGAACTTTTTTTTTCAGGGCATAGGAGGCTACTTCCTGTGATGCACTCGAGGTGTTTATAAACAAAGTGAAAACACGTGGATTTGAGGGTAGCCCTGTTTGCAGATGGAAAAAGTCCGAAAATGCCGTGTGGGTACCCTGTTTTTTGGTGTTAGCTAATGTGACAGGTAATGTTTAACACCTCCTGCTAAATATTTTTTCATGTAAACAAATACCTGATTTTTAACGATTTTTTTATTCTATATAGAATTATATAGTGAAAACAATTACCGGTGTGATACCTTTATCGACTGGGTCAGTCGCGGCCGAGATACGAACTCACGACCTCCCGATCACAGAGCGAGCGCTCTACCGACTGAGCTACCGTGAACGGTTTGCAGAATGAGGTCTAAAAATACATGTAACCTTTACTTAGTGATTAATATAGCAAGAAATTAAAAAAAAAAGTTGACAAAAATGAAAAATTAAAAATTTAGTCCGAATTTCCTCTTCATTACCATACATAGACTTTTGTTCCTGTATATTTTCTTCAAAAAATAAAACAAAATTTTAATTGATACTGAGTGAAAAATACGTTATTTTATCCATTTAGAACAATTTTTTATTTAACATACTAAACTTTATAAAATTTCCTTTCTGTTTTCTGAAACCTGAGTAATAAACGTCATCCTTAATGTATATACGTAGAAATAAAGTAAAGAAACATTAACATTTGGGTAATATAAGTACTGGTTCCCTTAATAATGATAGACAAATCTTTCAATACTTAAGTACAGGTCAACGTAAGAATCAGGCAGGAGGTGATACATGAGGTTCTCAGAAAATAATAATTTTTCACGCACAGATTTTTATCAGGGTATAAGCCATGTATGCAGAAGGAAAAATAATTTGGGTCATTGTTAATATGGAAACCTGGACAAAGAAATTTCCTTAGCAACAGGCCAATTTTTCTTTATAAATTGACGAAATTTTACCCATTTTGAAGGCTTTGTACAAAAAAATTTAAAAAAAGTAATTCTTTTCTTCCTAAGTGTCACAAGAAAGATAAAATCTAAAAGTGCTCTCACAACGTAATAAAAAGAAATTACATTCTCTAATATATTTACTATAGATACAGCTAAAGATACATGTTTCCCGTTTTTTGCTGATTCAGCATTTTGCTTAATTTTAGCAAAAATCAAGTCGATATTATTCGTTTCACCATCTTAGTACAATTGTTTCATCTATTTCCTGTAAAACTACAGGAAAGGCTTTCTTAAAATTTAAAATAAAAAGTTTTGCAAATTTGAAATTTACTATCTGTTGCTAGGCAACAAAAATGGATGGTTTGATAAATTAAAAATGGTAAAATTCTAAAGCATTGGTAGAAAAATCATATAAATTGTAATCATTGAGTACCAAAAACAATTTTTAAGATAATAAAATATAAAATATTCTTCCTTGTGTACCTATGACTCTTTTACAATAAGCTATCTCCATGGCAACAGTAAATTTTCCTTAGCAACGAAGTATTGTAAGTTATTTTCAGTGCATATTTATCGATGTTTTTAAAAGATCATCTGATTCTTAGAGTTGAATTGCTATTGCTCGAGATCAGCATTGTCAAACCAGATTTTAAAAATAGTTTAGGTTAGTGTATCCATAACAACAGAAGTTATCCACATAGCAACAAATACTTTAAAATAGAATCAGTTTGTAGCAATTCGTCAACATAAAGCTTTATCTTTTTGGATGTTAACTAGGCAAAAACATTCTACAATATACTTATTGAAATGAAAAATCAATTACTTGACTTATGTCTGTGGTATTTATTTTTTTTTTTTATCGCTCTCAAATAGTTAATCATTGACCTACTTTTCATGCTAGTGGCAGCAAGTCACTGAGACTCTTGAGCCGTCAAAATTTTGCCAATTTCTGAAAATTTTGTATCATTACCAATATCTGCAACAAAACTGCACAGTCTAATTTCTACAAGTTTAAATAATACAGCAATCTGGATATAAAAAAGATATATATAATTTTGATTAGGATTATCCCTGTACTTTTGACAACGCAGATCTGGTGAGGTATTGATTGACCGAGGCCGAAGGCTGAGGTTAATAAGTTTTGGACAAAGTCTGTATATTATGGGCACAAGTAAGCAGAATTCGTAAGTCAGTCTAATTTTTTTTTCAATTGTAATCATTGAATACCAATCAAATTTTAAAAGCATAGAATACACAATATTTTTTTGTGTTAACTAATAATATTGAATTTTTTTTTTCATTATCATGGCAACCAAAAATTCAAAAAAGTCAAAAAAGGTCATATATTGCACTTAAGAAATAAAACTTTAAAAATATGTATATTATTGCAGTGAAACTGAATTTGCGCAGTCTAACTGGTTATTTTACTTTTTTTAAAGAGTAACAAATACTGTAAACCAACTTTTATTCGCATGGGAGAAATTTTTGCGAGGTTCGCGAGAGCCTCGGCATCGCGAATATTTCTTGCCGCGAACGGGGCATAAAGTCTCTTTTTATATTGAAAACAGTTCCAAAAAGGCTTGATCGCGAATATTAATCGTAGCGAACTAGTTTACTCCCGGTAAAACGCGAAATAAAGTCGTCGCGAATAAAAGTTGGTTTACAGTATCTAAATATCCTATTGAAAATGTTGAAAATATGTATTTAATTTTTCTATTAAAATTATTTCAAAATTCAACAATCTGTCTTAATTTTATCCATTTGATTACAAAGACTTCGTGGCGTAGCGGTATGATTGCTGGATTGAGGACACAATGATCGTGAATTCGAGTCTCACAGTGCGTGTTACTTAAATACGATTTTATTTTTTTTTCTCTGTGTGCATTTTCCTATGTTTTCTTTTATTATTTTTTAATACATGTAAAAATAATTTTTAAAAAAGATATATAAAAAACATTATACACATTGAAAGTATCTTGGGGATAACAGTCTTAAACTATTTAATTACCCAAAGTTATAGCTGCTAGGCTGTTTTATTTTTAAGATTTTCTTTAAAAATCTTGTTTAGAATAAGAGTATTGGACAAGTAAAATACCTGTCATTGCAACTATGAAAATATAACACTGGTTCACAAATGATTACATACATGCAGTTTGATTTTAAATTGAAAAGGTACATGTATCTAAAAAAAGAAACAGGTGATTTCCTTTTAAATACTTGAGTAGGCCGAGTTGGCGGTAAGGCAGCTATGGCTCTTTTGATCAGAAAAGCTCACTTGAGCCTTCGGCTCAAGTGAGCTAAATAGTATGTGGCTGGGGGTTCTGGAAGGGAATTGGGGTGTGTGTTATTCAGAAATCTCTTTGTGTCCTTCCTATACAAACACTAGAAGCGCATGCTTTGTTTAGAGATTGCTTATGATCCAAAGGGGTGCAATGTCTTTGACACAAGGTCATGCCAGCATGTTCAAGGTCACTTGTCTGGTCCAAAACTTTGTAACAGAGAAATTAATCATTGGATTTTCCTACTTGATACAGTGATAGCTTTGTTGACTCACATGTAAGACCTTGACCCAAGGTCAGTTTGGTTAGTTCAAGGTCATTGGCTAATTTTTTAAAAACAATTTTGTCTTGGTGAAGTAATTTTGTAATGACAAATCTTTGGATAATCTTTTCTGATCATAATATGTGCATTGTCTGATGTCGTTGTCATTGTCACAACAAAGGTTATAAATGGACCAATTTTAACAAACCAGTAAGTATCCTTGGGTAATGCAAATTCAGATTTGTTTGGATGAATTGTCACATCTTTTTCCAAGGAGAGATACTTATGATTTCGTGAAAAAGATAATTGCATCATTTAAAAATCTTAAAACTTGCAAAAGATGACTTTTAATAAGGAAGACTGTTGACATTCTTATTTCATCAACTTGTTTGTCAGTAGCTTGCTTTCTTTTAGATATAGTTCGTTAGACTGTCTCTTGCGTATTGAAACAACTGGGAGTAATAAAGCAAGCTTTGAGTACAAACATTTATTGTTTATATCATGAACACTATCACTGTTTTCATTATTAACGTATTTTTTTTCTTTTTTCATTAGACCCCTGATATCGAAATTATTTTTTAGTTATAACAAATAAATAATAACTTATGCTAGTTAGTATTTCTTTATCAAGATAAAGTTATCTTGTATTAATCTATTCCGGCTGTAAAATTTCATTTGATTGGATAAAAAAATTGCTTATAAGGAATGAATTTAATAGCTGTCCACGGTGTACTGTTTATTACCTGGACTGGAACAGATAACACTTTTTTATTAACAGCTTTGAGGTTTATAAAGCGTAAACTATCCCAACCCAGGCTATTTAATATAATTTTGGTAGCTATTATATTAATTCCTTACATAATGAAATACTGGTAGTTACTCCATTAAAGAAGGATAAGGAGATAACGAATAGTATTCAATATCAAAGTCCATAAAACATTACAAAATAGAAGCAGAGAAAACTCGGACCTCTGAAATATCAGAGGTGGGATCAGGTGCCATGGATGAGTGAGCATCTCCTGCCAGCTGGTCACACCCACCGTGTGCTCCTTGCCATGACCAGAAAAATCAAAGTACTGAGAGTACTGATAGGCGGAAGCATGTTTGCAGGTTCTCATGTGCAAAACTTTAATGACACATATTTGAAGCATAATCTTTTTTAAAGGGGGGGGGGGTGATAAATATTTTGATGGATTGTAGTATTGAAACCAAGGAACAAGAATAAACAATATGTCTTGGTTTTGATGCGGATACATGAGAATAAGTCACGTCAATAGCAATATGAACATTTTAACATTTATTATACCCCCGCTTGAAAAGTGGGAGGGTATACTGTAATCGGTATGTCCGTCCGTACGTACGTCTAGCTGTCCGTTCGTCCGTCTGTTACGCTTTGGGGTACTCATATCTTATCCGCAATTCCTCTTATACCACTGAGTGAAATTTAATGAAACCTTCACAGAACCTTTATTACATATTGCCATTGTGCACCTCCTCTTTTACTTTTTGATCTGACACATATTTTGGGTTTCCCGGCCACAGCAAAACATGGACTTTTCCATTATAATCATATGGGAGGCGGGGGTATCATTTAGTCAGTTCATTGCTCACAGTACCTCTTGTTTTTGTCAAGTATAACAAGTTAAAATTGAAATGCAAGTTGCAATATATAAAATTTGTAAGATATGGTTTTGGGGAACAAGAAATGGAAAATTATAAAATTTCACACAAAAATGAGAACTAATGAGTAATAAAAAACAATAAATATCACAACTGCTTTTGGGTTTTGTATGTGTACATGTATTAAGTTTTAGTACCAATGAAACAAAGTCTTGTTACAAAACAGCAAATTATATAAGGAATACAACATACACAGAATACCTTAAATAGATTTACAATGCGCTTGTGGTTCTATGAATTGTTTTCATTCAATACACGTATGGCCCAGGTAGAACAAATCACACAAGTCTTTAATGCTGATGACAGGTGAACCCTGTGTCATGATGTCCACAATAAATGGAATATTTTTTCAGGAGAGCTTCTACCATGGCAGGCCCTTGAATGCCAGACAGTTTTATTTTTATTCCTGTGGTAAATTTGTCTTTGATGATTGTATTAAAATATTGGTACATACATCCCAATATCAGTGGTGATTTCTTTTCTGGAGATTATCTACCTGATTCCCTTCACAACTGTCTCTTGGCAGAATTTTCTACAAAGTGTATAATTGAAAAAAAAAATTAAGAATATCTCACAATGTTTATTTAACAAAAATTATTTCACATTATGTATCTGACTTTCAATAAATGAAATCAAGGACTTCAAATAACCTTTTATGATATACCGGTTATTTTGATATATTTTCTAGGGAAGTCAACTTTACCGGGTACTCGATCCAAGGTCCAAGTATCGAATACTAAAAAAAAGTTACTCGTTTACTCGGATGTATATTATTTCTTTTTACAAGGTACACATTTTTATCAGAAACTTATCAATTATAACTAAAACATGCAAATGGTATTTAGCATGTCTTCATCTACACCTAGCTGTAAAACACCCGTTATCGCCTTGATCTACATTCATTCATTCAGTGAAATCTGACATGCAAAGAAATTAATGCCACTATACCCACTTCAAGAGTGAAGTGGGTATATAGAAATAACAAAAGATTCAAAACTGCGGAGAGTGAACTTGTGTAGTAAGTTTAGTGTAAATATACTGGAAACAACCAATTGCAACAAATGAAATAATATAAGACTAGCGATCCTGACCAACAACATCTATCCCCTCTCTTTCGCTAGTTATATAACCTACATGTGTACACAGCAGTTTTTCAAATAGATCCAATTAAAACAACCTTTTGTAATTTTGGGTGTATTGTGCATTTGTGTTTTATTTGATAACTAATTTTAGTAACAAAAATTATTTCCAATGGAATTCATAATTATCTGTACATGTAATGAAAAAGTCAGATATCGAGTAAGCGATTATTAAACATGATAAATATTGACTGATTTGACTTCTCTAATATTTTTTTGTATTTGTTTTCTCTTTCAAAAGCCTACTATTATAAGTAATCATGTATTTGCATGTATTTAAAAATCAAAGTACTGAAAGTACTGATACGAGTTGATGGTTGTTCAAGCTTATAAATTAAACACTGCTTTACTGATAAAGAAATGAAATTGCCATTTAAAAATAGCAGAAATTTAGACTTCCATTTGATTTCTGATGTCAATTTCATGAGATGATGCACTGTATCATTAAATCCCATAAACAAATAATGTCATGTGAAATAATAAGGAAAGCATTTCTTTTTACATTATAATTATACATTTATTGTGTATTACTGCCCTATTTTAACAAATGAAATGAAACGCTCTTTCATAACTATCATGGTACAACAGTATCTGAATGTCCTTAATGTGGATACAGCAAAAGTAATATCCCTTTTAAAAAATATTTTTCATAATCAATTTGACAATTACTATTATACTTATCATATAAGATTTTTTAAACATTGCAGTCTTCCAGTTTAAATGTGTAAAAGCACAATATACAGTAAATTACAAGAAAATGATTTTCTTTTTAGAAAGAGAAAGTCGCTGTCACAATTTTGTTCATAATTTTCTCACAAGTGTAACGAGCATTAGGAATGCAAAATGTGTGTAATCTTAATCAGAAGTTTTACACAGGACCCTAATTTACAAATAAATGCTACAGTAATCAAAGTACTAACACAGTTTTGGGACACAGGAGAAAACTAATAATTATATTCTTGAGCATATACACTTCACAACTGTTGCAAAAACACATGATCACAGTGAAATATTTGTTGCTTAACACAAAAAGCTGTAAGATTTTTCTTTCATGACACACAATAGACACAAGTTGGACAACTGCATTTTTTTCCAATGTAAATTGTAGCTAAAATCGGTTTTGAAATTCACAAACATGAAATTAATATAATATATATAAACATATGCCTCCAACATTTTCTTGAAAATAAAATTTCTGATATCAAACTGTGGTTTAAAAATGATATTGCTTCTAATTGATGTCGCAGCAAATTACATACTTGTGAATCAATGTACATATCTAATATAATAAGAGGCCCGTCTGCCACATTACTCACCTGAGTATCTAGGATTGAAAAAAAAGAAGATATCAGTTCCATTTTGAAAAGTTTAACTTTATAAATGGTCTCAAGCTCCCAGGGGGAAAGGAAAGTTGTAACAAGAAAGAAATCGGATCAAAAAACTCACTTAAGCTTTTGACTCAGGTGAGCAAAAATGTTTTGCGCCATGCAATTTTAAAACAATTACAAATATAAAATTAAACCAGATAATGAACACAATAAATTGATATGAAATAAACTTTTTCCCAGAGGTAATTTACATGGAAAAGTTCTCAATATGAAGATACACATTCTTCATTTCACATTTGTTCCAGTTTTCAAGGGGAAGCTTGTCCTCCAACATACAAAAGACTGACAGCACAATTTTCTAATATATATCAATGCTTGAAATTGTTCTCCTACAACAGTAAGTTTATCAAATCTCCCAGCCATCCTTTATGCTCTGCCTCTGTGGTGTATACCTCTAGAAAAATAAAATATTTTACATTATCATTAAATTGAAGATCTGAAGGGTATTTTATTTATTATGACATTTTAAAAGTACCTCTTTGCTGTCCTGGAGATGTCATCTGGCATTAGGGAACCCCCAACATGGTAGTGATGGAGTTAAATTTCTCCGGTAAGAGAAATTAACAACCAACAAACCTCCAGAAGCAGTGAAAAAGGTTTCGTAAACAAATCCTCCCAGGAACCTTTATGCTCTGGCCCTTGTGGTTTATACTTCTAGAAAAATAACAAATTTTAAATTCTAATTAAAACAACATATAAAATAAGAAGTAAAATGGAAGATTTGAAAGGTATTTTATTTATTATAACACCTTAAATGTATATCATCATCTTTCCAAAGCAATAAATTGAGATCACTTGAATTCCAATCCTCTGTAGGAATTTGAACCACTTCTTTATACAAAATGCTTACAAGTGCATTAGCAACACGTACACTGTCTACCTTTACTATCTTCTGAGAAATTGTTTGATGCTTGATGCATATCTGCTGCAATGCAAGAAATAGCTGAGACTTGCTTTGATAATTTTTCTTTGAACCTGATATTTTCAAGAAAATTTTGTCTTTTTCTTTTTTTGAGCCCTTGACATCATCAACATAATCATCTTTAAGATCATCAAAATCTCGATCTGATCTTTATTTTTTTTTACATCTCAAATTGTTAATTCAACAGTATTATGACACAGGATGCCGTTGTACTCATCCAGAACATGTGTATTTTTTTTCACATATTCCCATTTATGAATATTTTTTTTTTATTTTAGAATGAAAATTAATAAATAAGACATTTTCACCCTGTTAAGTTACATTAAAAATGTTGTCTATATTTTTCTGAAGCGATATGAGTAAACATAAATCAATTAAAATAACTTATTCCAGATTTATTATGAACAGGTGCTTGTGGTGGATTTTGATCCGCTCCTGACTAAAATAAAAATGGCGTCGTTCCAACAGATGCTTCGTTCTCATTGTATTTTTCGTGTAATACAACAAGTAAAAATATTATCTTGGATAATTTCGTTTAGTTTCTTTGCATGCAGAAAATATATTCATTCGATTTTCACTAAAACATGACCGATTCTCTCAAGAAAGTGGAAATCTAGTCGAAAATTCTATGGCATGTCCTGTCGCACGTACGACTGCTGTTTTGTGTGTTTTCAAAGTTGAAATAAAATTTCTAGTGAGGCAGTTGCCTCATTACCACAATGGAAGCTACTTATGCGGACAAAACAAAAAGAAAAAAATCATATAGAATCAGGCCCCTGAAGCCGCGAAAACAAGGTGGCGCTAATGTTTACTCGGTCAGTACCATACCGCATACGAAGTCCTATCGATAAACTACTGGCTAAGTTTATATCTAAGAGCAACATGTGCAACTATACTTAAATGTACATGTATTTACATTTACGTACCTTCTAAAAATTTCCTGGTAAGCCTCCACAGTCCCGTCAATTTCCTTTGAAGTCACTGTTGTGCTGCCGATTTTGCGTGTTTTTGTTTACAAAACAAAGTAGCATGGTGCGTATGAATATGAAAAAGTAGTTCGATCTCTATGTTAGGCCTAATATGTCATTTGTATAAACCCCAACGAACTTGGCACAGAAAAATTAACCAGTATTTTATGCAATTAGTTTGAAAAATTTTAAAAATCGACAAGGCATATATACACATATAGGAATATGAGAAGTGACGAAATACACTTTCATTCTTCGGCGGTTTAAAATGCACTATTTTTTTTGTCGGACCGACACAATAAGGCTTGTTAATGAAAATGTTATTGTTTATACTTAAAATAAATTTCCTTTCAAAAAAGAAACATTGACATGTCTTCAATATATATGTTCGCTTTTATTTATGTAGAGTTTTTCAAGATGTGATACAATTTATCGTAGAAGGAACTGAATAAACGAGGTGTGTTATTTGGTTAGAATTAGGTCAACATTTGTAAGAACATAACTGAGTTGATGTCCATCAACTCGTAAAAATGAAAAGAAAAGAAAATAAGTCAACAAAAATTAGAAAAGTCAAAATATACTTTCAAAAATAGTATTCGATTCAGTTTTGCCATCACAACAAGATGATTTGTTATGCTATAAAAAATATAATTCATAAGTTATGAAAATTTTTTCCACTTATTTAGAAATATAATAAATTGATGTACTCACCTTCAGAAAAGTGTTTCTGGTTGTGCTGAGTTGAGTTTTCTTCTGCCATTTAGAGGTGGCACAGGGCAAATCCACAATGCAATCTTAATTATATCCCCTTTCTGTTAGCTGCCTCCGTAGCAGGGACACATCTATACAAAACACAATGTAGTTCTTATGCTTGCGTTTTAATTTCTGTCCAGATTTTACAGTTTTGGCCCATCCTTCAACATACATGTATTAACATTAAATGAGAAAGGATATATAAATGTATACACAAACTCGGCATGATAATTCCTCAAATAATTTCTCCCAGGCATGTAATCATGGTAATTAGAGTACCAGTTCGTTCGATAAGACCCGACCATAACAGCTATCATATTACGATATCTAACATGTCTAAAGCATGCCTGCATAGGGAGGCGACATTTTCAGGTTAAAACAATCAAAGATAAGGGTAACAATAAAAGATAGGCTAATCACACAGGTTGAGTTACCTTATTTATTTTGAAGAGAAGGCCTGTCACTTCCAGTCAATCATTGTAAATCATTTGTGCTCCACGTGGGTTTGTTGACAATAATTTCACGCTGAATCGTCTATATGTTAGATTATTACGCGAATGTAGTACACAATTGATAAAAGGAGTTACATACCTCTTTTCTTCTATTTCATACAAGATTATTGAAAAGATCAGTTCCTCAGTAGCTATGTGCCTGTCATTAGTTCTTAAACATAATTACCTACTTGAACTATTTTGTCCCTCGTAGTATTTCTGAAGATCGCTTCAGTACCCCGTGCTAATCAAATGTTGAACCCGATTTGTTTATGTTTTAGACATACAGAGTTGTCGTTCGTTCTTCTCTCAAACGTGAAACGTATCAGCAGTAACAAAGTAACTATTCGTTCTATTATTAGGCTATTATTTTTATTTGACTTTTTTACATTAATCAAAATAAATTGTTAAAATAAATTCGCCATAACACTCGCTTTTTGATTTGATAATAACGATAAAGATTGGGAAGGGGTCAAATATGATTAAGCGGGTTGTATGCCCTTAGTTTAAGATACATCCGTTTGGAGTACCATGAAGCGGGGCAAACATCTTGAGAGGTCGAAAGGTCAACAAAGCATGCAAAAGTAATAGGCGGCTTCCGCCTAAAAACGGGAAAATCTGTCGTCAATTCAGTGTATAAATAATAGATGAAATATAATGATATCTCAATACGAAACAAATTACTAAGTATATTATGGGTATTTATATATCTGAAGGAGAAAAAAAAAGAAATCCGAAAAATGTAAAATAAAAAAAATCCTAATATTTTTAAAAACGGTTTTTGTCTTGTATACAAGAACATGTACAGGAACTGATTAACATCGACCTTTGGCCTTGGTCAATGAAAACTTCATCAGGTCTGCATTGTCACAAGTTGACCTCAACAAAAGTCAATATTTTTTTTCTTAATTAGAATACTGTATTTTCTAAATTTTTTAGAAATTAGACAATCCAGTTTTTGTTGCAGATATCGGTCAAAATTTTTAGAAATTTGCAATATAATTTGAAGACTTTCGAGTGTCAATATGACACTAGAATGAAAAGAAGGTCATTGATTTATTTTTTTCAAAAGAAAACAAGATGTGTTTGTGAAACACTATAAACACTATGCGCTCGGCGACAACAAAGTTCGAGGAAAGCTATTGTAAGCACATAACACTGTGCCGGATAATTATGCAACTTCAAAAGTTGCATTTTGGCGCCCGCCAAATATTCAATTTTCAGGAAAATGAAAGATGCCATCTGAAAGACCTTGATGTGTAGACTTCATATCTACCTTTTGTTATTGTGTATCTCACCTGTCAGGTGAGATACTCACCTTTAATTAAAAAAAACCCTTAGGAGAAAAAAATATCCTGTAGGAATGTAAGAATTCCCAAGGGATTTACATGAAATCCTGCAGGATTTTGAAAAATCCTATTGGAAATTTGTCAAATCCTACAGGAAATACATTTCCCAAGGGAATTATAATTTTCCTGTGGGAAAATGTAATCCTATAGGATCTTTTAAAAATCCCACAGGAATAAATATTCCCATGGGAAGTTTAATATTCCTATAGGAGTTTAGATCTTCCATATTTTTCCTATGGGAATTTATTCAAATTTAACTGAATTTTAGGTACTCCTAAGGGAGAAAAAAATCCTATAGGAATTTTGTGATTACAATTATTTTCCTGCAGGAAAAAATCATTAATAGTATTTTTCTATTATGTAAACTATATCATAATCCCAAAATGTTGTTAAAGTTGCAGTTACGGTGCATGGCCATAATCAAGACATAATTTTATTTTTCCACAAATTGTTTTATTGAGAGATAGTCAATTTAAAAAGAATATATATTGCAAAAAAAATTTGAAAATGTAGATAGACCTGTTTTATAATCTAAACTTTAGAATTTTCAATCATTTTACCTATCAATACAATATCAATAAAAATTTAGGCCACACACTGCACCTTGACTGTTCTTTTGCATTTCTTAAGTAATATTATTGATCGTGTGGTATTCTATACGATATCCGTATATATTACTAGAATAATTCATTTGAATCTATCATCCTAAAACCTGTCCCTCATTACTGTTGTGTTTTTAACCCAATCTTCAACTTAAATCATCATGATGAGACTAAAATCGTGTATCTGACGCTGCAGTTGTAAAAACAGGAAATTATTTTCCGTCGGTAAATGATTGTTATGCAACCTTGTTTTTTCCGGATAAAAAATTGTTCATTGGTAGACACAAAATTTCCTTTGCCAGAAAAAAAGGTCATTTGGCATTGAGGGGATAAAGCAAGGCATATACATAATAGCTATGATTCCTTTTGTATTCTTTTCATCACCAAAATTATGGAAATGTGTATGTGTGTTTAAAGGGGGGGGGGGGGGGGGGCTGTAGGCAACTCAATATTTTCTGACATGTGTTATTTATTCTGTTCACATTTCTTATTGCTAGCATGCTTAATAATTATGCATTCAATTTCATCACTAAAATATTTATAGCTACTGGTATTTCTGGCCAAAATATTATATCTTCATACTCTCAGAGATTCAAGAGAGGTTAAACCTTGCCAATATAGGTCACAGTTAAGGTCACAACGTCAGTGACTTTGGCATCATTTGATTGTGTAGTGTTTAACGCCCCTCTCGAGAATTTTTCACTCATATTGAGACATTGGTATCATTTGAAAGAACTTGAAAGAACTTGATTAGTGGAGTTATCCGAGTATGCATACTAGATACGAAGTCTCTCATGGTTCAAAAGATATAATGAAGGTTTTAAAAAAAGGTCATAGTCAAGGTCAAAAGGAATTCTAGGAAAGAGCTTATTTAGTAGAGTATGCATACTAATTATGAAGTCTCTTACTTTCATGGTTCAGAAGTTACAGCGAAGGTTAAAGTCTGCAGAAAAAAAACTATTTTTAGCATATAGGTCACAGTCAAGGTCACAAGGTCATTGACCTTGGTGTCATTTGAAAGAACTTAATTAATGGAGTAAGTATACCAAATATGAAATTGTATCTTTTATGGTTCAAAAGTTATGGCGAAGGTTAAAGTTTGCAGATAAAAAGACAAAAAGACACACAGACAGCTAGACAAACAGACAGACAAATAGGACAAAAACAATATTCGCCCCAGATCTATCGATTCGGGTGCATAAAAAATACCAGTCATATGTCAAGTATATGACTTTTCAATTCTATGAGTAAATTCTATGAGTAGAATGTTTTTGTCTTATCGTTAACATTCTTAAAGATTTTTTTGAGAAGTTGCTTCATCCTAATTCTTTCTAAGATTTATTTGTTGCTATGTTTGTAATTCTGTTGCTTGGGAAGAATAACTTACAATTCTTTTCAAAACCTGTTTTGACAATGCCAAACCTGGGCAATAGCAATTCAAATATAAGAATCAGATGATATGTTGAAAACTTAAATGAATATGTTCTAAAAATAACTTTCATTGCTTCGTTGCTAAGGAAAATTTACTGTTGTCATGGAGATAAAAATTCTTTTAAAAACCTGGTTGGACAATGCCAAATCTGCGTAATAGCAATTCAACTGTAAGAATCGTATGATATGTTAAAAAATTAAATGAATATGTTCTAAAAATAACTCATTGCTTCGTTGCTAAGGAAAATTTACTGTTGTCATGGAGATAAAAATTCTTTTAAAAACCTGGTTTGACAATGCCGAACCTGAGCAATAGCAATTCAACTCTAAAAATCAGATAATATGTTAAAAAAAATTTACTGAATATGTACGAAAATTAACTTACAATGCTTCGTTGCTAAGGAAAATTTACTGTTGCCATGGAGATAGCTTATTGTAAAAGAGTCATAGGTACACAAGGAAGAATACTTTATATTTTATTATCTTAAAAATTGTTTTTTGTACTCAATGATTACAATTTATATGATTTTTCTACCAGTGCTTTAGAATTTTACCATTTTTAATTTATCAAACCATCCATTTTTGTTGCCTAGCAACAGCTAGTAAATTTCAAATTTGCAAAACTTTTTATTTTCAAATTTTAAGAAAGCCTTTCCTGTAGTTTTACAGGAAATAGATGAAACAATTGTACTAAGATGGTGAAACGAATAATATCGACTTGATTTTTGCTAAAATTAAGCAAAATGCTGAATCAGCAAAAAACGGGAAACATGTATCTTTAGCTGTATCTACAGTAAATATATTAGAGAATATAATTTCTTTTTATTACGTTGTAAGAGCACTTTTAGATTTTATCTTTCTTGTGACACTTAGGAAGAAGAGAATTACTTTTTAAAATTTTTTGTACAAAGCCTTCAAAATGGGTGAAATTTCGTCAATCTATATAGAAAAGTTCCTGTTGCTAAGGAAATTTCTTTCTCCAGGTTTCCATAGTAACAATGACCCAAATTATTTTTCCTTCCGCAAACATGTCTTATACCCTGATAAAAATCTGTGAGTGAAAAATCATTAATTTCTGAGAACCTCATGTATCACCTTTTATATATAGGCTGCCTGATTCTTACGTGGACCTGTACTTAAGGTAGAACCTATGTCGGAGAAGTCTTTGTCACAAGATTTTCAAACTTTTCATAATGATAAATTAGCACCCGCTTATCAATGAGTCAAAAGCTCATGACATGTTTGCTTGTTATTAAATGAAGTGCAAGCAGTTAAACATGGAATGATAATTACTTATTACGACTTCACAATTTCAGTCATTTTCAGGGGTACTTGTCATGCAAAGAAGACAAAAAATCAAAAATTACTTCATTAAACATCTTTGTTTTTATTGTTTATTGATTGAACAGTATCAAAAAATATTTCCCGAGAATAATTTTTTTTTTATCCAATTCACATAAATGATAAGTCCGCTTTTTAAAAACTATAGGCAAATGAACTCTTTTTATTTTCAGTCAATTTTCCGACCTACATTTGTAAATATATATCAGAAATCTTTGTCACAAAGTTTTCAATCTTCAATATAATAAAGAACATACCCAAATGATTACAAAAAGTGATTAAAATATATACCTTTCCCCTCTAACTAATGCGAGATAGGTAATTTACCGATCCTAATATTCTTGACCTTTTTGCACTTACACGGAATCTTATTATTAAATGACTGTTTGGGGTTACTTTCAGATTAAAAATGTTTATCAAAAATTTTACTTTTAATTTGAAAAGATCATATATAATAGAAAAATTGTAAATTTGTAATAAATTGTAATCAAACTCCAAGACTATGAATAAGTAACAAATAATTATAAAAAGGAATGCACATCATTTCATGATAGATATCATAAAATGTACACACGATCTACAAAATGCACATCTTTGACTTAAACACATTTCATCAACATATTACAACTATTTAGTTGGCAATTGAAGATTTTTTTTTAGGATTTTTGCATTCCTTCAAAATAGTTCCATGTACATACCATTGACATTATTACAGTATTTTGTATACATTGTTATTTCATTACACAAGATGGTATTGGATTTGTTAACTTTTAATTAAGGTCAAGATCTATTAATTGAAAGGTGCCTACAAGTTTCTCTAATTCAAGAAACATATTTCATTAAGCATTATAAAAAAATTAATTAAGATTATTTCGGCATAATTTTAAATTGAATTCTGTGAATATATTTTCTACCATTTCTATTGGAGCTGAAAAGTACGGGAAAAGTGACATTTAATCAATTATGACGTCATAATGGATCTAGCACACGCTTAAATCATTCACTAGTTATGATGTCATACGACGTAGGTTCTACGTTAAATACTTACTACACAAATTTGAAAACAGTGTGGAAATGCAGACCTTCATATGTGTACCTTATCTCATGGCACATTGTTTTTTTGCAGACATAACCACGCGACTGGTAGGAGGTCAAACGCCATATGAAGGAAGGGTTGAAGTTAGCAACAATGGCATTTGGGGAACTGTTTGTGATGATGGCTGGGATGACAAAGATGCCGCCGTTGTATGCCGATCTTTGGGATATCCAACGTGAGTGACTGCTTATAAAATTGTTACACTGACTGGTGGTACCTACAGTGATATTGAAAGTTTAGTAATTATGAAAATTTATTTTCTTCACAGACAAAATGCTACAAGTTTGTGCTGTTCACATTATGGACAAGGATCAGGTCCAATATATTTAGATATCGTCAGCTGTAATGGAACAGAAACAGATATTGAACAATGCCCAAACCTTGGATGGGGAATTCATAATTGTGGTCATCATGAAAATGCCTCTGTTTCTTGTTCCCCTTAAATATATTTTTAACATTCTATGAGCAGAACTCTTCATTTAAACTAAAATAACATTATAATTTATTATACTTTCATGTTAAATACTAAAATCTGATTGGTTTAGACACAGTTAACAATCCGTTCTATTACCCTCAGCCTTAGCAACACACGTGACAACGGGTAACACAACGGTAATGTCACATGCGTGGAAATTATGCGCGTACGGTTCACTGTAGAATTCTCAAAATGTCAGTTGTGCGTTTGAAAGAACCGGAATAAACTTGACGTCAATAAAAGCTTGCGTCCGATGTAGCTTACTTGAAAACAACAAACGACAGACGAAACATGCTTGCGAGTGCAGAAATAACGAAACTTTAGATGATAAAGGACTCTAAGAGTATCAAACAAACAATAAAGAGGTCAGTAAATCTTTTTCGAAGTAGCGTGGAGTTTGAAAGCTTTCTAAACATGAACGTAAAGACGATCAACGATTTTTTTTTCTGACATCCTAAATCAAAAAGAGATTCAGTATAATAAAATAAATGGTGCCTGTTTTGGAGGGTAACAGTTGAAATTGACACCCCTCGTAAAACCATTGTCAACCTCCGCTGACGCGTCGGTTGACAATGGTTTTCCTTGGGGTGTCAATTTCAACTGTTACCCTCCAAAACATTTATATAATGAATAATGTGAGCTCCTGTTATTTATTTATTTGTTTTTCATTCTAAGTGTATGTCTATAGTATATTTTAAGGAATAATATTACGTGTAAAACAGTTTTATTGTATTTGAAAACTTAAGTTCATTTTAGCAAATGCATGTGCTTATCTTAATTAATCTAAAGCTATATAATTACTTTCAAACAATAATAATGATATCAACTTTGTTTCCGAACTGCATAAGTGTAGAAAAAGGACTGAATATTTTCATAAGCCATAACGTCATATGTTTGATATGACGTCAGAAGAATGACGTAAGTTTAAAATTTCAATGATTTCGACAGATAATGATGTATATTAAATATTTTGAGCAAAAGGTCTGCTCAAGATCGATATTTTGATATATTAATGTGAAAAATTTATATTGTTCTTTAGCAGACCTGCGCTCTATAAATTTTATAGTAAAACTGAGCAAATTTTGTATATTTTTACTCTTTCTGAAAATCATATAAAATCAAACTAATTTGTGACGTCATACAAACAAAAATTGTCAATCGCCAACTTAAAAAATTAATATATTTTGTTCATTTAGATTTTTCATACAATATATACAATTTGCACATTTCAAGAAATTTCAAAAATATGATTTTAAGGGGGGGGGGGGGGGATCAAAAATACGCAATATACCGCATATAGTTCTTTTCACTGCTTCGACCATTGTATGTCGCATTAACATAATTAAAATGGCAAAAAATATTTTATAAAAAAAAATCACCTGTTATTAATCAAAATGTAAGTGGCAAATAAAATTTTACACTTCGAAACGACTTTGAACCTTATTACATGTATATACATACGCTTCGAATACCGGAATTTCAACTTTCCGATACTTTTGTTTATCCATGGGACAAATAGCAATTAGGAGCTTTAAAGATTCTTTAAGAACCCCCTCTACACTGCACACGAAAGGGTTCTGATCCTATGGCATTTTCTGCAGTTAGAGTGATCTGCCGTAAGATCTAAATTCTAAGAAGTAGAAATTTACAATATACATGTATTACTCAATTTGTAATCAATTTTAAAGGTCATTATAAATTTCATGAACATGTTATTTACATGTATTTCTGTATTATTTACAGTGATTTATATTCACTTGTACCAGGCATGTAGCAACATGCCCTCCCCCCAACTTTTTTCCCAACATTACTCACACTATATAGCAAATGTTCATTGGAAGGTTGGTCCCCCCATATGATATGAGGGAAATGTAGTATTTTAGGTCAAAAAAATTGGTACTGAAAAAAGTTGGCCCCACCCCCCCCCCCCCCCCACCCTTCCCCAACTACGAAAATTGGATTTCCACATACCCATTTACAAATCGTAAAATTGACTCTTTATTTCATAGTTGAGAAATAAAATGAAAGGACGACCAAGAAACTAAGACAGAGTTAATGAGATTTCTACAATTCAAAAGTTTATAAACGAAAAAAAAGTTCAAAAGGTTAAAAGTTTTAAAAAGTCGGTCAAACTCTAAACTTATTATCCTTTTTAATAAAAAAACAAAACATTTAGTTCAGAACCCCGTTCTGAATATCTAAATGTGATGACATGTTTCTATTTTAGAACAATGCTTATGCAAACCTTGAGCTTTTTTAAATGATTAATTCTAGACTGTACTTGGTGTAAATTTTGCCCTGTCCGTCCGCGTCTGTCTACCTTTTGGCGTAGAGGTTTTGCTTTCATATTCCACAGGTTTATTTTTTCTGACAAATATTCAGATAAATATCTAGGTCATGTTCTGTTCAGGGTATGAACGAGTCATTTCGACAGAGTTATGCCCCTTGGACTTAGAAAAATTCCAATTATTTGGGGGAGGGGGCATAAGTGTTTTACAAACATCTCTTTTTTCATCTATTTGGCCTTGACCAAGGAGTTTGACTTGCGCATAATCCTTGCCATGAGAAGATTCCATACAGGGGCATCAGTGTTTCACAAACACGTCTTAATTTTCGTTAAATTTCCACATACCCATTTACAAATCGTAAAATTGACTCTTTATTTCATAGATGAGAAATAAAATGAAAGGACGACCAAGAAACTAAGACAGCGTTAATGAGATTTCTACAATTCAAAAGTTTAAAAAAGAAAAAAAGGTCAAAAGGTTAAAAGTTTTAAAAAGTCGGTCAAACTCTAAGGTCAAAGTCAAAAAAATTATATCCACTGAAAGGTCTTTTCACAGTGAATGCACATGTGAAGTATGAAATTCCTAGCACCATCACAAAACACGAATGTTTTGACCAAGGTTTAAGTTTGATAATTTTTAGACGGGGTCACGTGACCCCGTCTATTAGTTTACTGTCAGAGCCCCTCAAAAAGGAAGCCGTGGTGATAACACATGAATTAAATCTACGCCATATGAAAGAGTGCAGAAATTGTTTTGATCAAAATATAAACATTCTGTATCAAACTGAAGAAAGTGATATGAACTTTTTTTATAAATGACATTAATGAAGCATTTTGTAAACGAAAACTCGAAATATTAATTGTAAAACACACTTAGTCTAGTAAACCAAGTACTTTCCTGCGTAGTATTACGACTGCGTACTCATCATCCATTGTTTACTTCCGGAGAAATATTAATTCGGACCAGGAGAAATTCGGACAATTCAAAAAGGTGTCTAGACTTAGCAATTATTGAAATTTCTACTTCAAATTAAATAAAAAACGCGAGATTATAATATTCACAGTTCTGTTTTTAGTTTGTTAATTAAATTATCGAAACTCGTTAAAAAAAATCACATTTGTGAAATCTAGCATGTAAATTGTTTTGACCCCGTCTTTCAGTACTGTCTCAGTACTTTGATTATATAAGTGGGTCAAACTCCAAGGTCAAGAGGTCAAATTTGGTTTTACCTTAAGAAAGGTTTTGTTACAAGAAAAAAAAAACCCTGACAAATATGAAAGTCTTAGCCCCAGTCACACAAAAGTAATGAGCAAGGTTCAAGTTTTAGCGGACAAACAGACAGACAGTGCGAAAAAAAATACTCAGTATATACCCATCGAATCTTTGATTACGGAGACATGGAAAATACGAACGTTTATGCGATATGATCACATCTTAAGTGACCAACAGCGGTCGATACGTTTTATAAAAACTGTTGTAATAATGATTGTTCTTTCTTTCCATAATTCCAATATTCATTAATCTGATTGCTTGATGCTTGTTTTACAGAATACATGTAATTAATATTAAAATATTCACATCGTATTCATTTGACTGTGAATATACATGGGCCTCCAAAACATCAGGGGTGGAATCAGATGCCATGGAGGAGTAAGCATACCCTGCCGACCGGTTACAGACACTGTGAGCTTCTTGTCATGATCGGGAAATAACGGGAAAGTTTGTTTGAAAGTTTGATACAGGAAATATGAAACAGGACAAATTCCTTATATTGACCTGCAATAATTCCTTGTATTGACCTGGAAGGTCACGTGCAGGTCAATATAACGTAGTATTTTTTAACATTGTTGGATCTCAGCCAATCAGAAATGGGGAAATTATTCCATCATATAATAAAATGGTATAACAAGTTGCTGTCCTTTAAAAAAGGACTGCAATACGTGGACCATATGGTTGTGTTTCTAGCCGAAATTCAATTTAAGAAAATTTCTAGGTGTAGTGAATATTCATATAGGTTTGTTCACATTTTCTACAATGATCTGCCTTCAGTACTTATGACTGATTGTAGTCTCAAAGCAAAATTGTTAAATTTTATCTCTGATTAGCCTTTAATTTTGTCAGTTTTAAAAATCGGGCTATTTTGATACATGTAACCCATAATGACTGAGACTTGACACCTGTTCTGGATTTATACAGAAGAAATCTATCATGGGAAAAAAAGATCTGATGGTACACGTGTAGCACAGATCTGTAGTACGCAGATTTTTTTTGTCGGAGCCTCCCCCCCCCCTCCCCCCAAATTAAAACCGTTGCTACAGACCCCTATCAAACGGTATCTGGATTGATGAAATATCAAATTATTTTGCGATTCTTCATGAACAAAACTGATGCCGCTAAAAACTTGTTCTATCTTTTAAAAGCTAGAACTAGTCGTTGATTGACGTATTTTATTCAAGTTGTTAAGTTACATGTATCTATAGACTGCAAGTTTTCCTACTGTTTAAAATTCTTGTGCTATAGAATCAATGTTTAGTTTGTATAAGAGAGTTCATATTTATATAAGTATATGTATAAGAGAGAAATTTGGATCCGCCAGTGAATATATAAATACGATATGCGGATTTAAATGTCAATGAATGGCATATTCTAATTCGAACAGGGCGAATTATTCTACGGGCAAGTTGCCTAATGCCTAGGGCGAAGTCTCTAGCATTCCCGCGCATGCGTAGCCCAACGTT